TTCCTGCAGCACTGAGCCTAAGGACATGGGCTGCCTTAGCCCTGCTGGGCTGCCAGATTGTCTGGACTGAGCCTGCTCCTTGGTCAACTCTTGTCTGCATTAATCAGGCAGAAGGGATGGGGATCACATCACTGACCTTCACCACCGATAACCTGGGTAGCTCATACAGCCCTTCGATCTGAGCCTGTGTGCTCAGAGACTATCTCTTCAAGGAAAATGAGTGCATTCAATAGTAGAGATCCAAGGAAGGCCACTTCCTCTCTTGGCAGGGTCTCCTTCCATGTGCACAGAGCAAACTGGTAATTGAGCCAAACCAGTGGCTTGAACAGGGATTCATGGTGGTGGCTTCCCCTGGGCCTGAGCAGGAGGCATGGCAAGTCCATCTGTGAGGCATCAAAACCCTGATGGCAGCTCAGCGTGTCTTGTTATTCTCTCACTGCCTCTCTTTGCTCCCTTTCATGGTTTTGTAAAGAGGACTGGAATATACAAAGTCTTCAAAGCAACTAATAGAATAAATCTATCACAGATGGCCTAGAGCCTGTTGGGGATGGGGGGGGTCTTCCAGGTGGGTCTTCAAGTCCAGTTTAGATTGAAGGTTTTGGTGTGTTTCTCTCTGGGCTCATGCACCTTCCTCAAACCCTGGGTTTAGTCCCAGCTGTGTAAAATCTCAGCACAGATTGCCAAGGTCAAGGGGAATTGCCTGAGTTTGGGAAACTAAAACTGAATGAATGGAGCATGATATGAAAGCATAATGGAGCTGATTTTTTTTATTGCAGGAAGGCTTCTCGACACCATTCTGACAGCATAAAGGGTCATTTACATCTATTTTAAGCAATGTAAAAGCTTGATCCTCATTTACACATGTTGAAAAGAAAATATAATATGTACCGAGACTAAGCCCTTTCCTACTGCCAAAGTGATGGAAAGAGACTTTAGTGTAAATAAGGTTCAGGCCTGTTTTCAGTTTCAGTGCCACGAACGTGCCGGTGCAGATGCAGGAAAGATGCCAAATGTATTTATTTTGGCCTGCTGGGGTGTTTCTTCAGTTTTCTGTCTGCAGAAGAAAGTGAATGCACACGTTTTAGCTCTGCCTTCCACGAGAGCCACTGGAAGTGTCACTTCCCCCCTCTCAGCAGGGCCCGAGGGTGCTGTCCCAAAGGCCACCGCACAGAGGATGCTCTTGTTGGACAGGACCTGGGGGACCGGTGGCTGCTGAATGGGCACCTTTGTGGTGCGGGTTGTGAGTTCTCTGTTTCCAGCTGCTACGCTGCTCCCAAGGACTCTGCAGCAGCTTTAAACCAAGCAGAAACCAAAGATGCACAAGCTGACAAACTCTGTTTGTGTCAACTAAAGAAAAGCAGCTCTCTGCCGGCTGCCGGAAATGGGCTCCAGACCTTCTCCTGGGCTGGAGGAGACACGGAGTAACTGCTCAAAGATGTGAGTAGTTCCCTAAACAGGATGATGATGACAATTACAGGCTGATAGGGGCTCAGTATTTACATCTCCTTAACTAGTCTGACTTTAAACCCAATCAGAGTCCCACAGAGCGTTGCTCTTCCCCTTCAATGTTCTCCATTGAAGGAGACTGTGATTTATCATGGGGCACAGGGGCAAGTGGCTGATACTCCACAGAGGTTCAATAATACGGACCATCTGCACGCAGAGTGTGATGCAGCCTCTCCCCATCCTTTTTTCTCTCCACGTAGGACAAGGGGCAGCCTAGATCTAAAGGGAGGTGCAATTTTAAGCAGGGCTGACGTGCCTCTGTGCCAGCGTGGGACGGATTAGAATTAGTTTCTGCTAATTTGCTCCACATGGAGCTTTCAGTTTGAATTCTGTCTCCTGAATTAACAGGCAGACCACCCTCTTGGTATCCTGACTGCTGGATTTCCCCCTGTGAGGGAAGATTTCCTCATCCATCCCACTTCTGCTGTCATTCAGGCAGTGTCGTACTCGTTGATCCAAGGGAAGGGGTGTCTGTAGCTGTGGGTGTTCCTGGGACCCCTGAGTGGATTCAGACCTGGACAGTCATTTCAGAAAACAGGGAACCTTTGGGAGCAGGGTGGATGCATAGTCCAGTGATTATTACCTCCCATTTTCTTTTGTTCCTGTCTGAATCCCAGATTGTTCCTGTTCAGGAGGCAGTTCTTGGTGTCATTGCTCTTACCAGAGGAACCAAAATAAGTCTTGTCAGAAGAGATCCAGGGCTGATTTCATGAGCCTATAGGGATGCTGGAGGGGGACTCTTCGTTAGAGACTGTAGTGAAAGGACAAGGCGTAACGGGTTAAAAATTAAACAGGGGAAGTTTAGATTGGATATAAGGAGGAAATTCTTTCCTGTTAGGGTGGTGAGGCACTGGAATGGGTTGCCCAGAGAGGTTGTGAATGCTCCATCCCTGGCAGTGCTCAAGACCAGGTTGGACGAGGCCTGATTTAGCGTTAGGTGTCCCTGCCCATGGCAGGGGGGCTGGAACTAGATGATCTAAAGGTCCTTTCCAACCCAAACCATTCTGTGATTCTATGAAACCAGCTGTTTCTGCAGAGTGGTATCAGAAGAGGTCCTATGGCAGTTCTGCTAATGAAGACCACAGCCTCTATAGCTAGGCCAGACCCATTGGACTGAAAAAGCCAAAGGAGGGTGTTGCACTTGCACTGCAGAGACACCAAAGGTTCATAGTGAGACGTGGAGAATACCTGCTCATCCCATGAACTGATGGGGTCCATCTGCTGCCCTGTGCAAAGGGCTGCACAGGGTGTATTTTGTGGGGTTTCACTCAGTCCAAGGAAGATGCTCTAAGTCAGATGGTTCCTTTGGGAGGACTCGGAACCAGGCTTGCACTGGGGGGGTTCTCCCTAAAGTTCAGCCTCCATGTGCCACTTCTCAGGCCCATCCAGCCGAATTATTCATCCCCGTGTCACTTGCTGAAATTTACTGTTAACCATCAGAAGGAAGAGCCAGTCACTGGGCTGGCCTTGGCCAGATCTGGTTTGATTGTTTCACCCTTCTCAGGATGTGTTATACCCTGTGTGCCTTTGCATGGGTTGCTTCAGTATCTCTGTGGTTAGGTTCCCACCTGAAAAATGATCTTACTGTAATAACAGTCCCCGTCATGTCCACAGCACCCTGGGTAATTCTTAGCTATGTAATTTCTCAACAAAGGTCTGGACATTTCCAGTAGCTTCTGAGTCATTAAGAACCTGTTTACTTGGAGCCATAACTGTTCCTGGCAAATTATACTGAGATCATGGAGGACTTCTAGGAGCTCCTTAGACATTCAGGACCCCCATAAAACCTCGAGTAGCACAGCCCTTGAACCAAAGACTTGCTGCCCATAATAGGAGGCAGAACGAGGGTCAGTGTTGAGCAGTGCTGGGTACTTTGAGCCCAGGCAGTTGGGTACACAGCGGTGGTGTGAAACCAAAGTATTGCCACTAAGTGCCCTGAGTCCCCGTACCATGTGTAAATCTGGAGCACCTTCAGTGGGTGTGAATGAATGAACTCAGATGAATAAAGCTAAAGATCCTTTTATAGGGTTTTCCCATTTGCCTGAGAACCAGTCACATTTCTTTCTGCTTGAACTTTCAGAGGGCTCAGTATTTCATCCTTGCTTTTAAAGATTTGTGTTACGTTTTGATCCCAGCCCCAGTGTAAGAGCTAACTTTGTGCTCCTGGGTTCTAACTATAATGAATGGTGTTTTGTGTGCTAACTGTAGTGATGTGTTTGCAGGCAAAGGCTGGGGAAAGGAGGAGGAACAGAGTTTCTCTGTTTGGGCTGTTCCAAGCCGGTGTGTTGCTGAGTCCTTCCTGGTTATGGTCTATGTGAAATCTCAGCAGTGCACCTGCAGGGGTTTCATAAAACCATCCCCAAATTTATTGCACTTTTTCAGCCAAGAAAGACTATCTCAAAAGGTTCTACCTCAGAAGGCTTCATTCTGTCTTTACCAAGCTGTCTTACTTCTCTTGGGTATTTCAGAACAGGTGCCTTAGCCACTTACCCACATTTAATGTCTCAAAAGCCTTTTTCACAGCCCCCAGATGAAACTAGACAAACCTGATGAAATATTTGATTTGATGTCTACGCATCTTTAAAACTTGCTTTTATTTGGAGTGGGGTGAAGTGATATCTGTGCCTTTTTGTTCAGGGCAACCTGACGTTGGGTACCAGAGAAGCAAAGGAATCATTCATTCACTTAGTTCTGGGGCTTCCCTCTTTCCCAGTGTGGCCTTCAGTGCCTTTACCTGTGTGTGCCCTTCCTGCTGATTTTCATTGCATACTCTTGAAGTCATCAGTGCAGACTTTCTCATGTGAACCTGGGTGTTTATTGCTCTTCCATGATAACTGGCAGCAGGCATTCCCATACAATGGGTCCAGAACAGCTCTGTCTTGGCATAAGACTGTTTCCCCTGTGGTTTTCCCTTTTTCCTGCCTGCTGGAGATAAGATGGAAACGTGCCTCTTGTGTACTTTGTCCTGTATCGTATGCAAGAGATGGGAATGCTCCTTGGGAAGAGGAGGAAAGCAAGCAGGTCAGCTGCAGAGCACCCATCTGTAGTACACTGATGGGTGCTCAGAGGGCTCTGGGCACAGTTGTGTTGGACAAAGGCATGGAGAGAGCTGAGTCCTGGGGATGGCTCTCATTGGAAATGCGGCAAGAGCCACCATGCTTCATCTACATGTCCTGTTCTTCCCAGACTTCTTGTAAGAAGCAGATTTGGAGGTGTTTCCAGCAGGATTGCTTGGCTGATACGGTCCATTCCCTGTGTCTTATCTGGACCTGGCCTTGTGCCCGAGCTTGATGTCACCAAGCTGAGATTACTGCCCCAAAAAGGCTGCTCTGGGGCTCTGGACTGCTCCAGAGAGTAAAAATGTGGCTGGGAAATGGTAATATGTGACCTGCATCCTGTTCTGGTAGTGTCACAGGCTGTCTGCTGAATGTCCCTCTACCTCCCTTCTCCATTGTTAACTGAGCAGCGTAACGCTTCTTTTGTTTGTTTTTCAGAGCACAAACAACTCCTGCAGGCTGGAAAGCCTTTCCCAGTAATTCCCAAACACAGAAATATGTGCCTGCAATGTGGCGCTTTTTAGAATGGCATCCACTCAGATGGTGGAGGATCCATCACAGCCCGGGGTGACTAATTCCAATGGCTCATTACTCTTCCAATTACAAACTGGCACCTTCCTTGCAGTTTGAATTTGTCTAGTTCTGGCTTCCAGCCATTGGATGTTGATATGGCTTTGTCTGTTAGATTAAAGAGAGTTCTGCTGTAAGAGATCTCTTTAGTAAGTGTTCTTTATTGTTAATAAGATACTTCTTCATCTTCTTTTTGGTAAGCTAAATTATTAAGCACCTTAACAAGTATCTCAGTGTAAGCAGCTCCTCTCCATCCCACAGTTCTCCAACTGTACTTGCAGTTCCCTCCTGAAGTCCTACTTGGGTACCTTTGGTTGCTTGGTAACCCCATGATGCAGTTTGAGACGTCTGGGTGGAACTGACCCATCTGCAGAGGCGCTAGGTGCAGGTATCTGTGTTTAGGCGCCTGAATCGAGCCCTCCGATTCCAGAAGAAGGGGGTAAAATCCATCTCCCCAAACTTGAGCCACCCACAGGTTTAGCAGTAGACCAAACCTGTCACCTAGTCTCTGGAGTACACCTTGCTTAGTCCAAGTGCTTATGTGGCTTTCTGGTAACTCAGCCAACACTCACTAAGCTGCAGTTGCCCAGAAGGTGACTCTGGCATAAGGTGCCTGTTCTGCTGCCCATGGTCTGGCTTGAGGTCCTCCTGGAGGACAGCTTGGCAAGCTCATGATGGAGACCCGTGCCCTGCTTTGCCAGTAACATTTAGCAGAGTTAGGGTGTTGTTGCTGATTATTGTGACCTCAGGGACAGAGAACACTGTTGTTTGGTTCCAGGTATCTTAGAACTTGGCCTAGTCTTTGTGTTGGGATGCAGATGTTGGCAGGGAACTTTGAAGAAGAGCCATCAGCCGTGTTCTGCACTGTTATGTCTGTCTGAGGGACACCTGAAGAATGCTTTCCTCGTGGCTCTTCAGAATGTGCTGACTGGAGATGGTGTTCTTTAATGATGGTTTAAAACTGTTTAACAGTATGCTGGCTTTTCTTAGTGTAATTTGGGTTTATAGACAGTGACTGATCATGTGCCAGGAGTTTTATTATGGACAACAGATCTCATTCAAGCAACAGCAGGGACCAAATACCCATTGTTTAACCTCACTACTTAGAACAACGTTGATGACTCCAGGCATACCAGATGGAACCTACCATCCCATTCTGCTCTATATGAATGATCAGCAAGTGATGGGCTGCAGAATTCCTTGTGCACTGTGCTGTGTAGGAGCTTCTTTCAGGCCTCTGCTGTTTAATACAGGAGGTCTTTGATGCAGTTTCTGGTGAGGTGGCCACCATGGGGCTTCCTATCGAGTCTTTGCCACCATGCAGCTGTTAGAGTGCAGCAGCAGAGCAGAGTAACTTGTTTCATGGGACCATATTCTTCTCTGTACCAAAGGTGTTTTCAGTTGATCCAACCTTAGGGATCCGTTTGGGGGCTGTGAATTGAGGGCTTCAGGAGATGCCTCCTTTGTGCACTGTTGATAAACTGATCCTTCACCACCTTGGCCCAAGGCTCGGGAGGATGTTTTGGAGGAACTCTGCTTGCAAGCTCTCATTTCATGAGCAGCCAAGCTCTGTGGAGCGTATTCAGTGAACGCACAACTAAATGGGACATGAACAGCCTGATCACGGCAGGGTAAAACACCCAGATTCATTGCTCAGGTGAGAAGGAAGCGTGGCAAAGCACTGAGAGCCTGAGAGAACAAGCATGAGTGTGTATAATCCATGGTGTGAAACCAATGCTATAAATAACGGGCTGATGGAAACCAGATCTGTTCTGCGTATGCATCCCGTTTCTACTCCAAAGCAAGAAACTTGTTTGCAGTGAAACGCTCATACATGGCCATGCTTTGGCCTCTGTTCCTTCCCCTAAGGCATGTGCTGGTCCTCCTGAGACCTTTAAAAGGAGGTTCTGGGTGTGACCCACGAAAGGAATGTGCAGATCGCGTGAAAGGTTTCCTATCAGCGACTGCATGCCAGGGGAGGCCAGCACCAGGCATTTTATAATAGAAATGATCTTTCTCACTTGTTCCTCCCTGCCCATATTTTACAAAAGAGGAATGCTGGGAGCCAAACGAACTCTTCTGAGGGCAGAAGATGACTGTAAAGATAAGCACTGCTGATATAAACACCCAGGGCTCTGCTGTTAATATTTGGGACTTTGGTCTCTTCAAGCTGCCAGTCAGAGAAGGCAGGGATTGCCATATATAAATGTCCTCAGTGCTAAATCCTACTGTGAGCCATCGGAGTAAATAGGTTCGTTTTTCTTTTACCTTGTATTCATATAAATCACTGCGGCCAGTGGAATTCAGCCTGCGTAAGGCCAGTGGGAGTGGTGGTACCTTTGGGTTCAGGGAGCATAAAGAGAGCTGAATTTTGGCTACCAGTTTTCAGGGAGTTAAATAGAAGGAAGCATATTCCCCAAGGCAAACAGCAGAGACCCATTTGGAATAAATCTGCTTGCTGGCTGCACTCCTCACTCTGGCAGTCAGCTCATTGACGATTCCAGCCAAGTTTTGCACTATGGTCAGCTTTAACTAATAAAGATCTAGCATGGTACCTTGCTAATCTCATTAGATGGAGAGGTATGTTTTGGTAGAGATTTCTGGGGGAGGAGAAAGGCAGAAATACGTTTAGCAAGTTGAGCTCAAGCCATTTCAGTCGTGTTTTTTAGCAGCATGTATATATGTGTATACATAGCATACACAGAGATATATATGTGTGCTTCTGCTCACTGTTTCTGCTTAAATCGCCCACTAAAAATAGTGGTGCCAGAGGCTTCAGTTACCAGTCCCCAGGGATAACGGCATTCTAGGCTATAGGGACTTAGAAACTCCAATAGTGTCATTGCTCATGGCTGGGTACTAATCCACAGAGGTCCTTGTACCTTGTTTGGAGTTAGACATACAGAACCCCCCCATCAAAATCCAGGAGGAGCTGTGATGCTAAAGCTTGCTAATTCCAGTGCCTTGCCCAGTGCCTCATTGTCAGGTTTATTTCCAGTGATGCCAATGGATATTCTCCCCTCAATGAACTAGGCTTTAAAAATACCAAGAATTGGGCCAGTGTTAATAAACAGCAGTTCTTTCACTTGGCCTATGAAGCATCACCCCATCCTGCTGAGCCAAGCTCCTCGCAGGAGGGGAGAAAGGGGAAAACCTGGTTCTCTCTCCTTGTCTTTTTGGGTCTGTCTTAGCTTTGAAGCACTGTGCGGATCGAGGGGCTTTTGACACTGGGACCCATCAGCAGGCTTTGCTCTACCCTCTTTCCTGGTGGTGGTTTCAAACCAGGACCTGGACTGAACACATCATCGCTGTCCACCACATTCAGATGCTGTAACTAATGCAAAGAGGGAACTGCACTGATGTCGTGGGATACACTTGATTAACCAATTGGTCAAGGTGGTAGCGCAGAGCCTTTGTTGCCCCTTATAAGGTTGTTCCTTCCCCTTCCTCGTGTCACAACAAGGACGTTGTTGTGCTTTGCTGAATCCTTCCTTGCTTGGGGCCAGTCATTTATCAAAAGAGATTTCCATCTTGGACTAATAATTCATCTCTTATTGCAGCCCTCCCTGCTCCAAGGGCCCATTTGTTTCCCCTTATCACAGTCTCATTATTTGGTAAAGGAAAATCTTGGACTTTCTTGGGACCAGTGTCTGTGGTTTTAGGAGAACCTGGCTCCCAGGTGGGGCTGTGCTTGTGAGCGTGGGAGAGGGCTTTCTAAGGGGGTCAGAGCCCATCCGTGGGACTGCTCCTATGGAAGGGGAGGATGGAGCAGGAATCCAGTGGGTTCAACATGAAATGCAAAGTCTCTTTCTTTGGCTTTAACTTTCCCTTTGTGCGTTTTTCACAGCCCGATGCTCCCACGTGCCTCACACCTACTCATCTCCCAGCACTCCCTTTCTCACACACAAGGCACGCTCACACTCTCACACATACTAATAAGAAATCCTGTAAATGAAGTTTTTTGGTCTTTCCCCACCCCCGTCCTGGAAAACTGGGAACAAAAAAAAAGGAAGGGTTTGTGTTTGGTCATACTTGGCCAGTGCTGGGATTAGAGAAGGGAGGATGGGTGGATGGATGAACAGATAGTAATCACAGCAGTGTAATTAATAATAATGACAGCGAGGCATCCTGCTCCTATTAATAGTGCATGCACAGCTTTAATCAGCTCTATCCACCATCCGGCAGGAGACTCCAGCTAAATCAATTGCTAGTTTCTATCCGAAAGGTTGTTCTGACAGATTGATGGAGGGATCCCCCTGGTTCTTCCTTTTAAAAAAGGAGAAAATATGAATTTATTCTTAATTTCTGCATCTTTATCTGACCCACGATGATATCTTTGTTTTATTCAGTGACCCCAGTGCAGCTCTGAGGCATTGGAGAACGTGTCAGGGAGTTCCCCACTTCCCTCTCCCCTGGCTGAGCATCCTCTTCTCCTTGGTCTGCTGTGATTAGGTGCAGTGTGAAGCTCTGAGATGGCCCTAGACGTCCAAGCTGGGGAGAGAACTGTTAATAAGGGCAGCAGGACTGTCTGTAGCTACTGTGCCACTGCTGTCTCTGTACTGTGCTCATCGCTTTACAAAGCTCTTTGGAGTCACCTGGAACATGAGAGGTGCTCTACAAAAGTCAGAGTCCATCTCAGTCTGTCTTGCAGCCATTCCTCTGCTCGGAAAGCAGCAATAAATTCAGCTGGGCTGGTAAGGGCTACTTCAGAGATATTCTTTAAAGAGAAGTTCTAAAATCTCATTGCTTTATTAAGCCTATCATACGTATGGGTTGCCAATTGATGTATTACATGCAAAAGATACAGCAAATATAATAATACCCTTTCCCAGCATTTCATTTTGAAGCCACATTTACCTGAAGCGACCTGCTCCCAGTAAATATTTCACAGGTTTCTCCTCCACAAATGCACTTACAACTTATGAAGCACACACAAATGTTTTAATTCTGACAAAATGAGCATCTTTCATGCACCAGGCTCTATTCAGCACATAGTTTTGCAGCTAAATGGCTTTCTGATTATCATGTCCCGGGATATTACTTCAACTGAAGTGATATGAAATGTCATTAAAAAGTAATGTTCCCCTGCTTTGACAATCGTATTAGTAAACACTGGAGGCTCTGCAGGTTATATGTCAGGCGGGCCGACACTAATGGGTTTATTAACATATACAGTAGCACTTTGTCAAACCTCCTTGTTAATCTAAATTTGCAGGTGACAAAAAGAAAGGGTGGGGGAACAAGATGATATTTAAATACTGGTTAGGTTGGCCTGTAAGTAAAAGAAGCCAGGAAACCCCAAGCAAGGTCAGCTGCTCCCTGGGCTGCTTCTGTGCTTCATCCAGTCCTCACTGGGTTGGTTTTCTCCCAGCTGATGGGGAGCACAGACACCCATCCTGGGGAATAACCAGTGCAATGCATGGCAAAGGGCACAAGTGGATTTGATTCAGGGTTGGGGGTGTATAGCTGCATCCCCACCTGAGCCAGCAGCCTTACAGTACGGGAACAGCCAGGGCTGGAGACTGCTGGGCACTGGGGGGAAGTCCAGGGGACCTGAGTAGCAAATATGGACTTATGGAGTCACAGGGACAAGTGAGTTATCAGAAGGACATCAGGGTTCCAGGGACAAGGTATTTCTGCCACCTATAAACTATTTACTGGGGAGGATTCAGGCAGTGTCGCCGTGTATCCTGGGCATGGCAGTGAATAACAGGGCTGTGTGGCTTTTTAGAGGTGATGGAGAGCTTGAGACCAAATTTCCCCCAGGATTTGGGCAGAGGAAGGATGGACATCTGAGCTTGAAGAGGGGATGTGCTCTGCTGATGTCCCTAAAGGATGTGATAGGAATGGAGGGGGAATTTCAGTTGCTGCTGCTGGGTTAACTGATGCTGAGCCCAGCCCAGGCAGTACCTGGGCAGCAGGGGGTCACCCCACTGCTTGGGGGGGGGGGGGGCTCTGGCACCTCTGCAAAAGCCCCTGTAGTGGTAGTGGTGGTGTTGACACCAGGCAGTGGGTCTGGCTCCTGGTGAGCAGCACTGAGGCACAAGCTGTGCTGTCACTGCTCCCCGTAGCACTGATGGAGAGCTGAATTTGGCCTGCAGAGACTTATTTACCCAGCAGTTCCAAATGCTTCCCCTTGGGATGCTAAGTACCTGTTCCCAGTTTTGTTCAAATGGCTCCATCTGCTCCATGAGGCAGCGCTTCCAGCAGGTACCACACAGAGGTGGAGGTGCAGAGCAAGAGAAACGGGGCTGTGAGGAGCTGCCCAAGGGGATATTCAGGGAAAACCAGTTTCCACGTGGGAAATGAATTGCATCCCTGCATCCGCTGCCTCTTCCTCCTGGCTGGCAAGACTGGAGGGGTGAGTAACAGTGGACCTTTGTGTAGTGAAGCAGGTTTCAGGGCTGCACAGATGCCTGGTTTGCTCTGATGCTGGAGAGGTGGCACTGGGGAGGTGGTTCAGTCTGCCCATAGGAATAGCACTGTGCCCTTGGGCAACCCTACAACCTTAAGGACAGCACCGAGTTTGGGATAGAAGAGACATCTGAGGTTTCAAGTTACAGAAGGCAAACCCACCTCTGTCTCCTCAATTATCCTGGCTCAGAGACCCACAAGCTGTTTAAAACCATCTCCTGAGCCAGCTGAGAAGGGAAGCCAGATGCTGAAATTTGGGCACGTGGTTAGAGTTGGAGCCCCAGGGACACATGAAGCCTGGAGGGATCTGCTGGCACCTCTGGGTGCTCCAGCACATGCTGAGTCTTGGCTTCTGGGATCTGTATTTTTTACCCTGCAGAATGGGATGATAATGGCCCTATGTGTTGTACGGATGTTCTGAAGCAGCAATTCCCTTTCTCCCTCTGAAAAAACAACAGGACTTGATGAAGCTGTTTGAAGGGGCCATTGACTGGGGGGTCCTGAGGCTGTGTCCATCTTTTGGCTCTGCATTAGGGGATAGCAGAGTCGGGTGTTTCCTCGTGCCAGCTCCGTGTTTGCTATAGGGTAAGTGAAGTCAGTGACTTGCTGTGGTTTTTATTTTGGGAGCTGGGAAGTGTAAGTACAGTGGGACCTATTCTTGTCCGAATGACTAAGCCTCGCCAGCCCGGAGCTCTTCATCTTGGCAAACAGATGGTGCGTGGAGGAAAAGCGATGCTATTCCCTGCACTGAAAGGCCTTTTCTTTCTGGAGCGGTGCCTTAAAGCTACAATGGTTTGGTTTGTTGGGCTGAGCTGTACCGGGTGTTCAGGTGCCTTTTGGGGAGGGACACAAAACGGGACAGGGTCATCGGGACAGCAGCCTCGGGTGGACCCATCGTCCGTGGGTGTAAGTTTGTCTCATGGGAATGTGAAGAGCTCAGATGTGAGGCAGAACAGCCGGGCTCAGGGATGCTTTCGGGCATGCTAAGGAGCATCACTACTCGGTCCAAGAGGGAGCTTCTCTTCCTGGAACCACTCAAAGCCCCATGTGCCCTGGAGCTTGGCAGGTTCCTGGTCCTGGTTGCTGTTTCTGACCAGTTCTCATCATTTTGGGAACTGGAAGCCTGAGACTGAATTACCAAGCTGAGATTGCAGCTGGGCCCATGGCATGTGTGTCCTTTGCAGACAGGCGTAGGGCTGCTGATGCCCTCACAACTGCACGCTGCAGTTTCCACCCAGGCTGGCAAACCCACCTATTCCTTCCGCTGCCTGGCAGCAGCACTTTGAGATCTGCAGCCATTGTCTTCACCCTTTGAGCTGCTCCAGCAGCAGGCAGAGCTGATGCTCTGGGCAAACTGGGTGTAGCACAGAGAAATCCCAGAGCAGAGTGGGGAACATCACCCCAGAGAGCATCTCCTCCCCTGCTCCTCTTACTCCAGCTCCTCCTGCATTCTTCTCTGCACCACCTCTTATGACTTCAGAAATAAGCTGGTTCTGCTGCTGTGACACATGTACCTGTGACAGAGGAACTGGCATTATAATCCTGGGAGTGGATCCTGTCAATCTGCTGGTTTCTGCTTCATTGGCAGATAATTACAGTGTGGAGAGAGAAAGTATTTGCTAAAAGCAGAAGCTTAATGGAGTTTATAAAGGATGCTTTGTCTAGGCAGCTATTGGAATAAATAAAACTCAGCTTGGGCTCCATAAAGGTCTGCAGAGCTTGAAGTCTGGGTTCTATAGAGTGTTGCCAGGCTGGGAATCTGGGGCTGGCATTCACAATTCCTGTCCGATACTCCATGGAGAGCTGTGGGATGCAAAGGGTAACAAGGAGCATCCCAGTTCACATGAAACTCAGAGCCAAAAGGGCACAACCAGTCCTGGTGCCAGCCAAGGAGTTTGATTGCTGGCACAGGACTCTACAACGATCTGATCCGTGTTTTGCAAAAGCACTGCAAACTCCCAGAGGCTTTCTATTCTGGGGGCTCATTTTTATGATGAGCTGCTGGGTGCATTTGTCTTCATTGGAGCTCTTCGAGCTTTAAAGGTCAGCAAGACTTGGCAGCAAAGCGCTCTGGAGACGAAGAGGGGGTGATGGATTTTCAATGCCACTCTGTCAGCCCTGATCCCATTCCCGGTGCCCAGGTGGGATGTGAGCACAGCTGACCTGCACCCACCCAGCCCAATATAGCCATGGCCCCAAAGGTGCTCGCTTGGTGCACAGGGAGCCGCTGCCTGTGTTTGCGGTATGATGCTTGTGAGCTTTGAA